TGGAATAAAGAGGTGAGCTGCTCTGATTTCTTACATATCCTGGAGTAGCTTTCTTTACCCTGACAGATGAATTATACCTTTCACTTAGCATAATGTTTTTAAAATTCATCAATTTCATGGCACATATTAGAATTTCATTCCTTTTTCTGGCAGAATAATATTCCATTGTGTGGATGACAGTGTCTTTTGAAGATCAAAAGGTTTTAAATTTATGAAGTCCAACTTACCAGGTTTTTTTGTTTTCTCTTTTGTAGTTGTGCTTTTGGTCATCTATTTAAGAATCTTTCCCAAAACCAAAATCACTAAGATGTTTTCCTGTATTTTCTTCTACGTAGTTTTGATTCTTATATTTAGTTTTATAATCTGTTTCTAGTCAATGTATGCGTATGGCACAGGGAAAGGGTGAAGGATCATTTTCTTACATATGGTTGTCCACTTGTTTTAGCATCATTTATTGAAAAAATTATCCTGTCCCCGCTGAATTAAGGTGCCTTAGCAACTTGGTTGAAACCATTATGCATGAGTCTAGTTATAAACTCTTTTCTACTCCGTTGATCTGTGTGTCTATATACCAATGGCCATATCGTCTCAATCACAACATCTTTATAAACCTTGAAATCAGGTAGTTTAAGACTCCCAACTCAAGCCGGGCTCGGTGGCTCAGCCTGTAAACCCAGCACTTTGGGAGGCTGAAGTGAATGGATTGCCTGAGCCTGCGGGTTCAAGACCCACCTGGACAACTTGGCAAGACCTCATCTCTACAATAAATCAAAAATTAGCCGGGCGTGGTAGTGCGCGCCTGTAGTTCCAGCTACTTGGAAGGTTGAGGCGGAAGGATCGCCGGAGCCCAGCAGATTGAGGCTGCGGTAGCCGGGAGCGGCCACTGCACTCCAGTCTGGATGACAGAGTGAGACTCCAACTCAAAAAACAAACAGACAAACAAAAACCCCCAACTTTGTGCTTTTTCACAATGGTTTTGGCTCTTCTAGATCCTTTGTATGCACATTTTAGGATAATATTGTCAAATTTTTATTTTTACAAAAATCTGTTGAGGATGCAATCCTTGTGTTGAACCTATAGAGCAATTTGGGGAGAATTGGCATCTTAATGTTGCGTCTTCTGAATACTGTAGATTTCTCTATTTTTTAGGTCTTCTTTAATATTCTTCAGTAATGTCTGTAATCTGTCAAATTTAACTCTAGGTAATTAAAAAATTTCATGCTATTATAAATGGTATTTTTATTAAAACTTTCAGTTTCCAAGTTCTTAATTGCTAGTATATAGAAGTGGAATTGATGTATGTATGTTAACCTTAAATCCTGCAACCTTGCTAAACTCACTTATTAGTTCTAGAAGGTTTTTTTATAGGTTCCTTAGCATTTTCTATATACATGTTCATGTCATCTGTGAACTTTTCCCTTCTATGTATCATTTATTTATTTTTCTTGCTTTATTGAACTGCCTAGGAATTCTAGTACAACACTGATAGAAGTGTGAGAATAGACATCCTTACCTTATGTTTTATCTTAGGGGAGAAACATTCCACCTTTCACTACTAAGTATGATTATCTCCACCAAACCCTTAACCATTTGCTAAGTCATGTTGTGTTTGTCACTGTGGGAAAACCATTTTAAAATGCTTATGAGCTGACCCTGAGCCATAACCTGGTGGTTTTATAGCATATCTTGTTTCAAACAAATATCGTACAAGCCTTTTACAATTAAGTGGTGTCAAATGCCACCATCTGAGTCTAGAGCAGTGATTTTCAACTCTAGCTGTATATGAGAATTATTTGGAGAAATTTTAAATATCCGAATGCCCAGAACAATACTATCAGGAGCACTCTTTATATTAATGTATATCATTTCACCACAACTCTCTAAGGAAAGGATGGTTGTTATGTTCACTGAAATACTAAGTATATTGAAGCTTAGAGAGGGGTTAAGGACTGGTACACAAGTACATTGACATTGACTCCAAAACCCGTGCTTGGCTAAATTGCCTGCCCACTGGCTGCACTAGAAAGTAAAGGCATTTACTCACCTCTCCGTGGTTCTAGTGTTCTTTTGGAATTGGCCTAGGAAGCTGTCATAATAGTTCTTGTCCCAATAGTGTATTGGTCTGTTTTTCACTCAGTTCATTTGTTCACTCATTCACAGGTCTGTACTGAGTTCTTAATATCTGCAGAGTTATTAATATATATGGGTTCTAGTGTGAGAGAATAACAAAGCAGCTGGAATCCTAGAACAGAAGCAAATACAAAATAAATGTAAAAGATTACAAGAGGAGGGAGGATGAGGATAGATGCATGGGAAGTAATGCTCAAAAACCATTGACTAATCATTCCAAGTATATAATATCATGTCATCTGTACCCTGGTGTGGCTGGTCACAGTGTAACCCATGAACTCCTCCAGTCCAATTTTTCTTTTTTATTCTAGAGATGTGAGATTTGTTTGTTTGGGTTTTTTGTTTTTGTTTTTTACTAAGCCTCTGTTTTTTACTAAGCCTCGTGGTGTGTCAGAGTCCAGCTCCAACACAAGGGTTAGGGCCTGAGGTGAGAGAATCAGACGCGGCGAAGGAAGAAGACACAAGTCAACTCCCTGGGTCGAGTTCGGGACTCTTCCAAAGTTTATTCAATTTTCCCATGTTTATATAAGGCATTTTCAACCCTCAACCCCCTCACACATATGCCCACAAAAGCTTACATTATGTTTTACAATCAAATGTTCTACAATGATTTATTTGATCCTCCCTATTCTTTTTTTGTTTCCATTATGTTAAAATCAACAGACAGGAACGAAACAATTTCTGCTAAAAATAATTAACTGTAACCTTTCAACCCTTACCCCTTTTATATCATATTTCTAACAATTCTTACATGTAACTTAACAGCAGTATATTGGCGTTTACATCGATAACTAATTTTACTGTTTCTTATAATTAACTTGATTATTTCTTAATTATTTCCTATAAACTTTCCTATTATGTATCTATCTTTATTCTTACTTTACTTATATGAATCATAATCTAATAATGCTTAACAACCTTTACATGAATTATGCTCGACTGCTCTTATATCCTATCTTTGTTTTCTATTTAATTATTTTTTGTCTAATTATCTTTAATCGTCATCCTATTTTTATCTACTTAACTCTTCTCTCCGATATTATTATACTTACACTACTAGATCATTTTACTCTTACAAACTTATATCTACTATGTCTATACTTTCTTAAATCATGTTTAAAAGCCGCTGCCCTCAGGATTGACTTGTCTCAGGTCTCACAAACTTCCTCTTCCATCTTACCCGTCTCAGGTGTTCATTTAGTATAGGGTCTGTTCAAATTTAAGAATGGGAAAGTTCTTTTATTTTCTTTATACACGATGGTTTTGCTTTTTATGGAGACGAAGGTAACTAAACATTCTCTAGCATCTCTAATGGCCGTGCTTTTGCTGTGTTCCTTATTCATGTCTCAAACTTCAGTTTCACCAATACATCATCCTCGCTTATCAGTTAATGCTTCATCAGAAAGAGGTACTTTCTGTCTTATGCACACACTCCCAAAGATCAAAGGGGGCCCATCAATGGGATCCATAGGGCTTTGCCTCCGGCATGGCCGCTTTAGCTGGGGCCTTGCTCTCAGCCAGCATTTTTCCCATTTTCAGGTAACCCTTACTTTGCCTTCTGTTAGGAGTGGCAGCTCCCGACAATGGTGTAAGGGTTAGGCCTGGAGTCCAAATGCCATCCTTTTCAAACTCCTGAAAAAGATTGCGTTACCTGGCCTGGTGAAAAAGGGTATGGGGCACCAAGAAGGAAATTGACATTTAATGAACGCCTATGGTGTTCCTGGCATTGTGTGAGATACTTCCTATGTGTTTTTCCAGTTGATCTTTTTGTCAACCCACAGAGCTAAGCATTATCCCGGTTTTACAGATGAGAAAACAGGTTCACAAACCAGTAACAGATAAAGCTAGGTTTGAACATGGCATTCAAATGACAGAATAACAGCTTTCCAAGGCTGATGCTTTGTCCCCTACTCAGAGCCTCCAAAATTGTACAGCAATAGACAGCAGTTATACTTTCTCCTGTCTGAACATTTCTAAATCGGAAGATTACCTTTATGAGACATGGTGTGGGGGGAATACAGAAAAACGTGTTGGAAGAGGAATTTCAGATGCAGGAAGGAGCAGGATGGTGTGGGTCAGAATTGAGGTCCATGGTGGAAGGCAGTGAGGGGCTGTCCTCCTGTTTCTTAGTTCCTTTCTTGGATGAGTGTGAGAAGAAATCAGCTGGGGATGTCCTTTAAGTGGGGTTGATGTTTGGAATTTCCAACAGCTTTTTTAATTCCACAAAAAGCAGAAAACAATTTTAAAAACCTTTGAGCTCATTCAAAAGAGGACAAATCCTCAGGACTCCTCCTAGGAGAGCTTCAGTTACAACCCTGGAAATGGATTGATTTTTTTCAGGAGTGACCCTCTTGATTAGTTAACAGTTGCTTACGTAGGGATTTTGTCTCCAAGACGTGAGTGGCGCGTTTCCTCTGGTCCTGCATTTGCTTTGTCACAAGCACTGGCTGTCCCACAGCTGGGAGCATTTGTGTTCACTCAGAGGGTTCTTACATGTTTGGTAATTTTCACGTGCATGTAGTTGTCTTATGTACAAATACAGGACAAGTGAAACTTCAAATAAAAGACAAGAATTTCCTCTCCTCTGAGATCTTTGGGAACTATGTCGGAAGGGATCTTGGAGGCACCCCTGGTTCCCAACTTATATTTCTCACTTGAAAAAAAATAAAAAAATAAAAAAATATTTCTCACCTGGGGGAACTGAAGGCCAATGAGTCTTACATGTTTTTCTCCAAGATTCTGAAGTCACTTTGGGACAGAGATGCAATTAAAACCAGGCTGTCGAACTCCATGTCCACCAGGAGGTTGTGTGCCTCCTTCATGTCACAACAGTTGCCACCTCCTTATGTGTTTGGCTTGTTTCTCCATAGATTCTTCAGAAACCAACCCCAGAACTCAAGCATCAGCTGGCTGCTTTCTCCAAGCGGGTCGCTGGTGCCGTGACTGAGCTCATCCAGGCCGCAGAAGCCATGAAAGGTAGGTTGAATTCTCTCATGGTTTTGGGTAGGGCACTCCCATGAGGCAGTGCCAATACATTGAACTGGGCAGGACGTGGGCCCTTTGCTGGTAGATGAGCCAAGAGAACTGTGAGGTACTTTCTTGAAGCAAATGAGTAGATTTAGATTTTAAAAGTAGCTTCCTCCCTAAAGCAAGTCTTTCTCCCAGTCTTTGTATTAAGTGCTTCTACAGGGTATAATCCGTGGAGAACTGAGGAGTCTCCCCATTTATTTGGATCTGCATTTTCATTCATCGGGATATTTATTCTTTTTCAGATAATATTCTCACATTTAGACAGCAGTGCTATCTGAGTATTATGTTGTGTGCTTACACGGAAGCAGTGAACTCACCAGGAAAAGATTTTCTCACCAATTTCCTTTTCTTGGAATTGAGGCGTGGGACCATTCCTCATGTGTTCCCAGGAGATGGGAATGGCAAGCCTCTGAATGGTCTGGAGCATGATCTAGAGTCTCCTGAGGATGCTTACTTATATCCATGAGCTTTAACGTCAAAGTTAGAATCAGGCTCAAGCCTTGGGCCATGGGCTCTTCATTTTTGAAGCTGCTTAGTGACTGCTCTGTGGCAGGGCTATACACACAACTGATTTAGAAAACCAGAATCAGCCCCTCCTCACAATCCAGATGGCCTTTATGAAAGCTAGAGAGAAGGTGCCTCAGGACAGTGCAGGTAGTAGGCTCATGGAGCCTCCCCACATGCAAATCCAGATCTTGTCTGTAATTAAGCCGGTGCCCTGAAGTCTGCAGCTACCAAGAATGACCTTCTTTTGGACTGATTTTAGGAACCGAGTGGGTGGATCCGGAAGACCCAACTGTCATTGCAGAAACAGAATTACTGGGGGCCGCAGCATCCATCGAGGCCGCTGCTAAGAAGTTAGAGCAGCTGAAGCCAAGAGCAAAACCAAAAGTGAGTGTCCGTTGGTGGTGGCTTGTCTGACATCAATAGGTCTTCTGGGGGGTGGCTATGAGATGGAGCTAGGTGTGCTGCAGGGAGCTTGTCTCCTGCCCATGGTCAGACAGCAAACAGCAAGCCTGCTCTACCTGCCCAGTGCTGTTGTGCAGTCTGGGGGGAAAAACAGTGCCAGGCTCACCACCCAGAAAGACACTTCTGGGTGTTTTTCCAAAGGAAGAATCAGGGCATTTACAGTCTTGATTTAGTTCCCTTACATAAAGCAGGTGTTGGATGCTTCCTGTGGAAAGTTCCTGCTACTGGTTGTAAGATTGCTGGTCTCCAGTGTTCTGATTTTCATCATGCTTTTTACAGAGAAGTAGAGATATTGGGAGTTCACAAAGGGCAATGTGAACCTCCAAAGTGCACAAAGGCCTTTTCGGTGTGTATGGAGAGTGTGATTGGCTGGTGTGTTTTTCCATCTATGTTTATCTAATGTCTAAGACTTAAGATCATGAGGATATGTGAAGAGGCATAGCCACTTAAAGGGGAGAGACACTTTTAGGTTAGGCAGTGGGGAGGACACATTAAAAGGATATTGAGCTAGGTCTGTCTTCAGGGCAAAGTCCCCAGCCCTGTTAAGAAACTGTAAGCCCCCACCTCACCTTTCATTTCTACCTTCATCAGGAAGGCAGTAGAATCAAAGGAGGCCTCTTTTTTCTTCCTGTTCAAGCAAGTCCCTGATGGTACCTGAACTCACCTCTTTTCTAAGTACCCAAATACATTAGGAAATAAAATCTGGTTTTCCTCTCAAAAAAAAAAAAAAAGAAAAATGGATCCCCCAATTTAGGTATACCTGAAATTCTACCCTTTTTTGCAAGACCAAAGGATAAAGTCTGACCACTAACATAGAGCAGACTACTCAAAATGCCAGTATTGTGTGAGAAATAGACAGGTGTATATAATGAGTCTTTTAAGCTTGGAAACATTCTTCAAAACTTTGTTTGAATAGAACTTATCTTTGTTACTACAACTTATCTCCTAATAGTCACTCTAGACTTGGTAAATGCATCTAAGCATTACACCATCAAAATATCATTTTACAGTTTTGGCTTCTGATTTGGGGGTTTACCGGGGCTCTGTCTGCTGGCCTCTAACCTGAGGATCTTGGGTTGCCTGATGTTACCAACATTTTTTCTTATAAACTTAAGAGCTAAGTGTGGGTATAGGGACAACTTATTTCTCTAGTTACGTCTTTATTTCTGCTTTGTCAACCAAGTTAATCATGAATTAAAAGTACTTTAGACTGGGCTCGGTGGCTCAGCCTGTAATCCCAGCACTTTGGGAGGCCGAGGCGAGTGGATTGCTGAACCCTCGGGTTCGAGACCAGCCTAGGCAAGTTGGTGAGACCTTACCTCTACAATAATTTTTTTTTTAAATTAGCTGGGCATGGTAGCACACACCTATAATTCCAGCTCCTTGGAAGGCTGAAGCGGAAGGATAACCTGAGCCCAGCAGGTCAACGCTAGGGTGGCTGTGAGTGTGTATGCCACTGCACTCTAGCCTGGGCAACAGAGACTCCAACTCCAAAAAGAAAAGAAAAGTCTTTAAACTTAAAAAGCAACTGACTAAAATGTCGAAGCATGATGCAAAATGTTTTTCCTCGTCCTTGTCTAATTTCTCACAAGTACACTCTCTCAGGAAAGCTTCTGTCTGCTAATGTCAAAGCCATGTCAGCTGGCAGTATTCATTCTCCTGGAGAAGTAACCCGGTGCTAATTTAACATGAACACTACCACACACTCAGATGTTCCATCCGCTTTCCTTTATTCCTCTGCAGGGTCATTCTGAGCTCTGGTCTATCTCAGAATCTCAGTTTCCCTTTGTCCAGTCATTTATTTAATTCGTGATTCTTGGTGGGAAAAACAAAATTATTGGTGTTCCTACCCCCATAGGATTATGGTCATCACAAATAATATAAGAACACTGTCTGACAGACAATAGGACTTGGTAAATGGTGACTTTATCACCTTTATCATCACCATCGTCTTCGAAAATATGCTTCTGAGACTTTTATCCTAAGAAACGCCTGAAATAAAAATTATTCCATAGGCCTTCAAGAATAAGAAAACCAAAAAGCTCACATGGATCAAGTGTCAAGTGTGTGCCAGACAGTCTTCTAGGTACTCGGAGTAACTCATCTGATCCTTTCAAAAAGTCCATGAGCATCAGAGGCACCAAAGGAGAAGTACCTTGCCCGTGTCAGACCACCTTGACTGTGTTGGGGGAGAGGAGTATGTGGACTCCAGGTGGCAGTTTCAGTCCACGCCAGTCCCCTTTTGCCTTCTTGCCGCCGCCCCTCCATTGTCAGAGGAAGCTGGTCTAGTCCCATAGGGACCACCTGTGGTTGGTATGGACCCTTTGAGTCATGAATCCCACCTCTGGGAATTTGTTCTGAGGAGGAAGTCCAAGAGGGGAAAAGAGTTGTGTGCGAATGACAGGGTTCCTTGCACACTTGTTTTTAGTAATGAGATGGTGAATGTGACCTGTCTCTTTGAAGAAATATTGTGCAGCTATTAAAAATAATGGTCACGAGGACTATGTAGCATGAAAAAGGTGCTCATGATATGATATAAAGGGGGAAAAACAGGGTGCAGAATTATGTACTTATAATCACGGCTCTATAAGAATATCGCATATGAAGAAGATAAGAAATGTACATGAATGATCATGGACCTGGGATGATGAAGGAGTCTGTTTTAAAACTGTATAAAACGATATTTTCTAAATAATAGCACTTTAGAAATGAATGATGACTGCTGAAGTGGGCCAGTTACGACTCCCTACACTACCCTAGGATCACCTAGCCTTTGTGTTTACAGTGAGGGTTTTTATAGGAAAGCCCAGAAATCCTTCGGTTCAAGCCAAAGTTAACATAACTGATGATTTGTATCCTTGGCTTGAGGGTGCCTACCTTAGTAGACTGTCTCCATCATATCAGGAAAGTGCTTGGTACTGACAGAATGCTTCATAATAGCCTGAAGTCTTTCTCTGTATCTCTGACCTGATGGCCAGAGGCACCTACATGGATATTATCTATAAAACTGTCTGGGCCCAGGTGGTGGCTTGCACCTATAATCCCAACACTTTGGGAGGCTGAGATGGGAGGATCACTTGAGGCCAGGAGTTCGGAACCAGCCTGGGCAACATAGCAAGACCCCTATCTATATTTTTCTTTAATGTTTTGAAGAAACCATCAACCCAAACCAGTTTTTGTGCCTGTCTAGGAGGGCAATCTACTTTGTGATAACTTCTGCATGAAATAAAATATCGTCCTTGCCTATATAAAGGAATGTATTTCTCCAGTTAAAAAACAACAATTTGACACCAAAATCAACCAGTCTTTTGAGGTTAATGGCTTCTCTCCATCCTCTCCCATCACCTTAAAAAAAAAAATCCCTAGGATACTGAAAATAAACAGTTGCTATTACATCCCTATCCCCACAACTCCACCCCCTCACACATACACATACTCTCAGTGGAAAATGAATATGTCTCCCTTCTGTAACTGGGGAACATTTGAGCTGCTTTAAGGAATCATTTTGGGGAGGGGTGATGATTTGGTTGGCATTCTCAGGTTGCCTGTTTGAAGAGGAGAATGGTTCGTGGTTTATGAGGATGATTCTGGTGTATTCGTTCCTACCCCAGGCCCTTAAGATTTAAGCATCTCTTTTTGCCTGGAATCTCCCAGACAGGCACTGTTGAATCCACTGTTGGCTTGGAAAATGGTCTAGTGGCATTTAGTCAGTGAGCGCCAGTGCACGAGCCGACAATATCACTGATGGCGCCGTTTCCACACCTGCAGACAGACCTGTGCTCCAAAGACAGGTGTCGGAGTTGCCGCAGTGGTGACCACCCCCTGCAACCATAACCTTCAATACTGTGCCTGTTCTCGAGCTCAGTCAAACCTGGATGCCTTTTCTGCAGGCCTCTGTGTGATATGTTTGATATATTAGGTTGTTATTTAATCCAACTATATATCAAACATATTCCTACAGTGTCTTGCCCTGTCTCCGGGGGTTCCTAATAAAGTTTATAAGGCAACAGGAAAGCATATGTTAAAATCACAAGTAGATTTAGAAGACGGAGCACTCATTACAATCCAGTATGTTTTTTTCCATTTCTTCTTGGAGCGTTTGAGACCTGTATCGGTATTATTAGGTTATTTGCCTATTACAGAAACAAGAAATAATAATTGATGTTTCATAAGAGCTTGAGCTATTTTGTACAGTTTAGTTTTGTGCAGTGGTGAATTCTTAAGGAAAGGATTGGTGGGGGAAAAAAATGGAAGCATCTAACCCGAGTCTGTGACAGGGGATAATAAAAGTCAGGATTTATAACCTCCAAACACATTATATTTCATATTGGTTCATTTTATCTTTATCTTCAATTTAAATGTTCGTGATCAGAGTTTCAGCAAACAATTCAAAGAATATACATCAATTATCTGTAACTTTCCTTTCCACTCATAGTAACAAACTGTATAAACCAAATCAGGGCCAGGCATGGTGGCGCACGCCTATAATCCCAGCACTTTGGGAGACCAAGGTGAGAAAATTGCCTGAGCCCACAGGTTCAAGACCAGCCTGGGCAACTTGGCAAGACCTCATCTCTACAATAAATCAAAAAGTTATCCAGGCGTGATGGCACATGACTGTCGTTCCAGCTACTTGGAAGGCAGAGGCGGCTGAGGCGGAAGGGTCACCTGAGCCCAGCAGATCAAGGCTGCAGTGGCCGTGAGCATGCCACTGCACTCCAACCTGAGTGACAGAGTGAGACTCTGACTAAAAAAAAAAAAAAAAAAAAAAAAACACACACCCAAATCAGCCTTACCAACTGTATGGATGGTGAGTCACTGCGGTTTGCACAAATCTTGGTTAGGACTAAGTATATCTCGTAATGATAGTGCAATGTTGACTCTGTCTGTTGAATTTCCTGTAATAGGTTAACTTATCAGCA